CGCCGGGGCCGGCCCTCGCGATGCGGGTCGCGCCCTGCAGCCGTTACGTGTTACGTATCGTGCGTGCGACACGTGCATTATGCGCCTTCGCCTGTTGGACACGTGTCACATGACGCGAGCCACTCGCGGCGTGTGTCGTCGTGGAATGTCGAGAAGAGGAGCGGCGGGAATAAGAGAGGAGAAGAAAAAAAAATTATGGACGTGCTCCCTCTTTCTCTCTCGTAACTTGGATCGTAACCGAGGAAAATGCGATTATGTACGTTCGGTAAAAGCTTGCGGGTAAACGAACAGGAAGAAAATATGATGTCGCGACGTCGATCATCTCGCGGGCAATGCCAGCGCGATGTAACCGTTACTTTGCAGAATGTTCTGCGGTCGTTGGACGTAAGTAACGCGAACGTTCAAGTGCACTCTATCGTATATCGGATAACTTTCCATAATAATAAAGAAGTTTAGAAATGTGTAGCGCTTAAGAAAGTGATCAATGAATAACATGCTTGCAGTAGACGTTGAAATTATTAAGGTTTAAGAATATATATAATTTTCTTAGAAAGTACCGCTTCCTTCAGATTCTATATTATCTATTCTAACTTTAAATATCATTTATTCTAACTTTTGAAAATATACTCTAATTGAATCCCGTGTTAAAATGTAAGTAAAATATGTCATAAGACACATCTATAGAAACTATTAATATCTAATTTTTTTCAAGAAGTAATAATATATTTTTATGCAAAAAGTTCGAAATAGACATCGCGCAATTATCTTTAGGAAAATGATTTCCATTATAGTAAAAAAATTTTTTAAATATCACTCAAGAAAATTATCAATAAATCACGTTTCTAGTAAATGAAATTTGAAATTGAAATTATTAAAATTGAAGAAGAAAAAAATTTTCCTAGACATATTTGATCGGTTCCGGAGACTTTCCTGCGATGTATACTTACTCTTTTCAAGAGCAAGATGAGATCTGACAATAGCTACCACAATGCATGAGATGCAAGGTGAAAGAGCACGCTCCGATTTGCGGCTGACATCCGAGAAAACAAGCTCATCCTGAAAGAGCATTCCCTTCCCGAATTCGACGCGATTGTGGATCGACAGCGACAAGCAGACAAGACAATCATACACGACTCGAGACAACTTCACTAGTTGTGGGAGGAAAGGCAGAACGGAGGGTTGACGGGAGGTGAAAGGACACGGCGCAGAGCCCCTGTCTCGAATTACTATTCCCGCGTGTGTTTACCGACGAGCGGAAACGACTTAACGGGCAGGTCGGTCGTCGTGAAAACGACGATACATCCTTCCTGCCTTTTGCTCCATCCTGTTCTCGCAAACATTCGTCGTCCGTGTTCCACAGGGTGTCCCAAAAGGGACAATAATTTGACAATTACATTTCTACGTAACGTTTCAACGCGATCTTTCCTCTAGGAAAATCTTGTATGACGACACGGTATATTTTTAAATTCTTTAACATGATCAAATGTACCTTGAGGAGTAATTTTTTTTTCAGAA